ACTTAGGGAGGAACCTCCCAGTGCCTGGTCCCTGGGTCTTGCCTCTGCCTTTGCCTTTTGTTAGGGATACACACCTACCCTTTGGGTGGCAGTGCCTTTACACCCTGGTGCCTGGTCAGTGCTGTGATACTGGGACCTCTACAGTGTGGGGAAAACTGTCAAGTTAGCACTATCAGCTCCGTCTTTTACACCATTCTTAGATCTGATCTGTTCTGTTGAGTTAATCACATTTAAAAAGTTAGGCTCTTTTGTTGTTGTTGGGTGTGTGTGTTTTCTTTTGTTTGGAGACCACTCCAGGAATGAAACTTTGCATATATTCTTAAACAAAGCCTGGTCCTCTGTCCAGAGCATGAGTAGCTCTGGGAGAGATGCATTTGGAGAAATGAGGAATCAAGGATTACCTTCCAAGCCAATGAGATAATTGATCAACATGATGGAGTAAGTCAAAGCCAGATCTCCCTCACCTCCAGGTGTTTTATGCACTTACTGTACTAAGAGCACTGAGGCTAGCCTGTGCATTAGCACACTTTTTGGCACATATGTACAAAATAAATTATATTTATACTATCCATTTGGGGAGTTCCATATCTCCTAGTTAGAGAGCTAAGGCATGAAACCACAGCTAACTGTTTAAAGCAGCTAGTGTATCTGAGTGGAAAGGCAGTAAGTTCAGAGGGCACAGAGAGCACTATGGTCCTAAGAATATGGGCAGAGCTTTTCAGAGAGATGAGACTTAAACCAAGCACTGCAAGGATGTTTACTGTTAACCTCACCTCCACTATTTCCTGTTTCTTAACCATTAGTGGACCTTGGCAGTTAATGTTGCCATCTTGGAATAAAGAATACTTAGGGAGAGCCTAATAATACATATCCTGATTCTCTGTGCATTTCTGCTCACAGCTTTTCTTAATTCCAGGATCCTAATAATAGAAAACTGTTAACTTCTCTTTGTGCAAGTGTAGCCATCCTGGTCTCCCTGACAGTTTTTTTACTCCCCATTTAGATTACAAATACACAGGGCCTAGGACCATGTGTTTCTTATCCTTACTTCGTAATTCCCTATGGATAAGACTGGCCTGCTTCTTACATTGTAATCTAATCACTTACTTAGAGGTCTCTGTATTGTTGAAGGTGATGGATTGGCCTTTCAAGCGCCCCAGCCCGTACATGCCGGTTGTCTTGCGCATCCCCATCACCTGCCTTCCTCTGAACTCTATTTCTGTTCCAACCAAATGTGCTCCTGCTTTTTTTCCCTGATCACCCCACTTCCACAGCCCATTAAATATACTTTTAAGGAGATGTCAAGACTTCCCTTAAGAATATGGGCTTTTATTTGTGACAGCGCATATGCATAAACCAGGAGATAGGCACGTTGGCAGATGAGATCTGACCAAGTACAGAGAAAAACTGAACAGAGAGCGCCCAAGTTAGTTTTAAAACACTTCAAGTCAATATAGCCTTACTTTTTTTTAATTAGTAACTGTTTTTAGCTACTGTGTTAATGTAATAAGCTTTCCTCAAATTCAGTTGAATTTTTTCCTATTCACTAAAAACATTTTTGGTCAACTGTTGTATTTAGACAACTAATGAACCCTTTCTCTGTGGTTCTTTTTCGCAAACGTGCTGGTTTCAATATGTGGGCCTTAATTTATGTAATTTCTCTCTTTTATTTCTCTGTGTTATCTATGTTTTATTCTTTTTGTTCTGGTTGTTTTGTAAGTTTGAAAAAAAATAGCATGTAGGTAGACCTGGAAAGATTAGATATCAGCAAAATTATTCTTAAGCAAAATGTTGTATATTAAAACCTATCTCAAAGCAAGAGGGAAGCCTTTTCACCATTAATGCTACAGAGATCCATTTATTTAACATTAAACAAATATTTATTGGCTTCCCACCCTGTGCCAGACATAGTTCCAGGTGCTGAGGATCTAGCAGTGAACTAGGCAGACCAGGACTGTGCCTTGAGCCAGCATACGCTCTGGCTGCGGCAGCAGTAGAGATGCAGACAGCAAACAAATAGTCGCATACACAGCCTGTAGAGATAGCAGTTGATTTCCCAGTTCTTCTTCCCTCTACCGCTGCCTCAGAGCCACATCTACAGACACGTTGCCTGGACTATTAAGTTGATTTAGTCTCAGGGTGCTACACCTCCCTATCTAGTAAGTGGTGTTTAAGGGCCTTATTCTAGTACAGGAGAGAAAGTTTGGAGAGAAAGGGAGGATCAAGTTTTCATGGTTAAACTGCAACTAAATGTGCTTTACTCTCAGAACTGTAAAGATGAGAACTCATTACTCATTCAGCAAACATTTATTAAACAGTGTTATCAGTCAGGGCTCTGTTATGTTCCAGGCTTTATAACACCTACATGCATGCCCTTAAGTACCTCACACTCTAGTTGGAAAGATAGAGACATAAAATAAATAATTACAGATAAATGTTACAATGAAAACATATATCAAGTTCAAAGGGAGTACCACAAAAGCAGTAACTAACTCTGCCTGGGGGAAAGCTTTACCATAAAGTGACCTCTAAACTGCATCTTAAAGATGCCTGGAAGTATATCGTGCTTCATTTATTCATGAAACATTTACTGAGCACCTCCTGTGAGCCAAGCACGTTTGTAGGCACTGTAGACACAGCAGTAAACTAGGCAAAGTCCCTGCTCTCTTGGCAGCAGAGAAGTAGGCAATAAATATATAGACAAATTATTATATGTTAGGTAGTACTACTGCTAATGCCAAAAAATAAAGGTAATACAGGGGACAGAAAGTGATAAGGGGCGCTGTTTTAGATAGTGCGTCTAATGAGATGACATTTGAGCAGAAGCCTGAATGACCTTAGAGAATGAGACCAAGAAGCTGGGGGATGCCATTCCAGACAGAAGGGACAGCATGAATAAAGGCATACTAATCATGACAAGCATGGCGTCCTCAGGGCGACGTGAGATAGTCTCACCGAGCGTGCAATACGAAGGGGTGCCCAGAGTTGGGGGAATGTGGTAGATGAAGCTGGGAAAGAACCGGTTGGGGGGTTGGGGGTGACAGCAAATGGTGAAAAGCCACCTGTTCCATACTCGGAAGTTTCAATGCTCACATTGTTGATTGGAGAAAGAGGGGCTAAATTTTGAAAAACAATTTAAGAGGAAAATGACATGGTTAGATTTTTGTTTGGTTAGGTTTGGTCTGGTAATTTTGACAAATTACTCTAACAGCAGTATGCATAATAAACTTGAAAAGAGATGCAGAGGAAGCCAATTATGAGGTTATTATGACAGTGCAAGTGAAAAATAATGTGACCTAAATTAGTACAGTAAGATGAGGCTAGAGAGGAGATGACAGAGTTCAGAGTTTTAGGAGACCCATTGTGTAAGATTTGATGCACTACAAAGCATGGGAAAGGTCAAAAACAGTTCCTAGGTTTAAGCTTGGGTGACTGAGTGGGTGATAAAGCCATGAACCAGCTCAGGGAGCCCTGGAGGAGAGGCAGGTATAGAATGCAGATAATGAATTTGATTTGAGACAGTGGGAAAAACAGAACTGGAAATTAAAAGAAAAGTCAGGGCTGACGTACAGATTTGGCTGTTAACAGCATTTAATGGAAATTTAAAAAGGAGAAGGAGCAAGAAGAGTAGTCACTACTGCACAGAACTTTAATAGGACGAGGATTTTTAAAAAGGCATCAGGTTTGACTATTGGAAGGTCATCAAGGACTTCAAGAAGGCCAGTGTCAGTAGATGTGGGTGAAGCATATTTGAACTGGAGAGTGAAGGTCTGAGAGGCTCTGGTTGTCCAGCCAAGGTCACTGTCTTCTCCCCTTTTCCAAAGCTCCTACTTGGAAACTGTGAGCCTGATGTCACATCTTCTCTTCTCCCCCCTCCTTAACTTTCTCCATCTGTGGCCTAGGATGGAGATGCCTGAGTTGGGGACATTATGGAGGGAAAAGTATTCTAAGATCCTTGGGGCACTGTTGTGGGAGGGGTCAGGATTAGGGAGCCTGATGTTAATGAGTCAGGGATTGCAGGGAGCATCCTCAGAGGGACCAGCAGGTCAGGCCAGCCCAGAGACCTGTCTCCTGAGGGGAGAAAGGTGAAACACGTAAGAGTCTATTAGCGGCAGATATCCTGGACCTGGAAGCTGAAGAAGGATGAAGAGCAAAGGACTTGATGGGCTGGTGGGGAAAACATGGAATTAGTCAAGAAACCTGGCCCCAGTGAGAGAGTGGAATCTGGCAAAGGGTGGGGTCGAGGGGTAGAATCTGACAGCAAATTGATGTTAACTAGAAATTCGGTCAGGGATGTTTAAGTGTTTAGGGCACAGGGAGTGAAGATGTTTAAAGGAAAGACTGTTGTCCGTACTTGTGATCCTAAAGTTATCAATAAGGAGACAGTTAATGAATTGAGTGGTAGTCCCAGAAACGCTGGCATATAAGTGTTTAGTAAACATTTTTTGAAGCCAAAGGGGTCATTCAGATTATGTGGAGGAAAGGAATTAGATGCAAGAGTTCTGGAAAGCTGTAAGTAAGTACCTAGGTTCCCTTCAGGGATAGGATGGAAGCAGTGATTAAGGGATCCCAAACAGCAAAGCCCAAGAGGGAGACTTATACCTCAGAGGGAGTTGGAAGCAAAGATCAGGGTAGAGGGCACACTCCCTTAACCCTGGAGACCCAAGGAATTAACCAGTGAGTCTACCAGATTTGCCCAGCACTGCACATACCCTTCGCCTGCTTTTCTTGTCTCCACACCATCTCTGCCCTCTGGGTGGTGAGGCTCGAGGGCGAGGCAGGTGCTGTTCTGAAGCCCTGGACAGCCATCAGTTCCTACCAGACTTCCTGTAGGGGGTGCGGTTTTACACCATAGTGGGACACAAGCCCCCAAACTTGTCCCTTCAGCCAGTTAGCGGTCAATGCAGGCCCAGAGAGCCAGTGCCAGTACATGTTGAGACTCCGATTTGGTTGAGCGCCCAAGTGACCCCTGGCAGCCTGACGGTCTGCCAGGGATCCAGATGGGATGGTGCTGTGAGCCCCTGGCCAGAGCTCACAGGACATGGGCCTGGTCCCAGAGTCCCTCGGAAGGCCCCTTTCATGAAGCCTACATTTTCCTGCAGTGCTTCCGGAAGTTGGAGCTGCCCGAGGATGTCTCGGTCATTGAGAAAGAAATGGAGCAGCTGGCCAAGGAGCTGAGACAGGAGAATGACCCTTGGGTACTGGCAGGCTGACGTGGGGCTCTTTTTGGAAAGGTGCTTAGCCAGATGACCATCTGCTGCTTCGAGGCCCAGCAGCTCAGCCTTGCCAATGTGTGGAAGCTGCAACCAATGCTGAAAATGTGGATGGAGGAACTAGACACCAAGAAATTTCTGGGGTTATGTAGAATGGAGATGATCCTGCAGCAGGCTTGAAAGTGGAGATAGGCAAGCAGGGAGAGAGAGGCACTTTGGAAACAACCTGGAGAAACTCTTCCTGCTGTGGCCAAATGTCACACCCCACCAAATCAGCTGCATTGCTGGAAAGCTTTGGCTGCCCAGGAACCTGGTCCAAGTTTGGTTTTATAACCAGAGCAGGATGGGCAGCCTGTCAACTAATGATTTCTCCTCACAGGAGGAGGTGGGGGTGCCAGGCTTCCTTTCCCACGGGGAACAGTGTGCTTTCCACTAGCACTGGGGCTTCCTTCTGGTTCCCCCAACTACAGGGGACCTTGCTTTATACCCTCATACTCCTCAGGCCCCTTCCGTGGGCAGGGAACCCTCCTCTCTGCCCTGGACACCACCCAGGTTCTTCTGAGGCTCCCCAGCCCTTCTGGGAGAGTCAAGATGAGGAAACTGATCCCTAGGATTCACGTTAGGGCTTTTAGTCTTAAGTTCTCCATTCACTGTCTGAAGAAGTTAAGAATACACATGTAGTAGATGGAGTGGGAATAATTTAAGGAAACTTAGGAAGGGAAGTTGAAGTTTATTGCTGCTTTGTGTTTTTCCTTTTGTTTTTACCTAGTGTTGGTTTTGAAGTGCAATACATAGATGGTTTTGGATACTTGGTTTGTTTTTTTTTTATTAATTGAAAAAAACATTAATCCTATTTCATAAAGCAAAAAACATTACAGATTTTGAGGATCCCATGTTCTGGAAGTTGATAGATCCCTGCAGTTCTTGGTGGAAGCTGAAACAGGACCTTGCAGATGCAGGAAGTGGTGACATCCCAAATGGAGCGAACATGCATTACTTTTTAGAGAACAGCGCAAAGATGATGTCACAAATTTGAGAAAGGGTTCTGTGCTTTCTTTTTCAGCTTTTATGGAATTTGACTATTTTGGCTTTGTAATTGTAATAAATTTTTACTTAAAATAATGAGCAAAATAGAACCAGATACATGGAAATAAAGAACAAACTGACGGTGACCAGAGGGGAAGGAGGAGGGAGGTAACAGGGGAAAGAAGGGGAAGGGTCAAGTCAAGGAACATTTGTAAAGGACCCGTGGACAAGAACAACGGGGTGGGGGCTGGTGGTGGGATTGGGGGAGTGGGCAGGGCAGGGGAGAGCAACAGGGAGAAAACATTGGGACAACTGTAATTGAACAACAATAAAAATTAACTAAAAAAGAAAATTGTTTCTTATTCCTTGTGGTTATCAATAAACCTAGGGTTTAAATTTTAGAAACATGATATTGAGTGAAAAACAAGTCACGGAAGGCTTCCCGTGTGCCATTTTTATCAAAAACAAGCAGAACTTCATGTAAACCCAAATACAAAGTCCAGGATCTTAGTTACCTTCAGAGGAAAGTTGAGGATGGAGTAGTACACAGAGCCTACCCGGAACTTGATTTCTTGTCCTCTTCTTCTTGAAAGTTGTGGGGTGTTTTTCTAATTCACCTTTTCATTTAGAGCATCCCAGCATTAAGCGAGGGTCTCAATTCTTCTCTCCACCTTACGTAGTCCAACAGGTTTATCTCCTGTCCTGCCACAGCCATTGTATTGTAAACCCCTTTGTTACTGCGATTGGCAGACTAAACAGCAGTAGCTCTGCTCCAGCTTATTTTTCTGTTTTTCAGCTCCATTTCATTTATTCCCTGGGAATGTCCCTTACTTTCTCTTGAGCCCATAGGCTTTTCAGAGTATGTTTGTGATTGTTGATCCAACATTCCCTGGTGATTTTTATCATGGTACATCTTAAGTTACTTTTCCAGTCTCTTCTGTGAAATCAGTTTTTTCCAGCTTTCTGCTTCCACATTGATCAGTTTTGGACATCATATATATACTAAACAAATACCTTTCAGCGCCCTGTGTTTTCACATCTGGTGCCATACACCTGCATGTGATATTTATTGTTTTATAATTTACCTGTTGCTATATATCATATCTGAGTTTGTGTGTTCTTTTTGCTTAGTAATCTTGTCAATTTTTTTCTTTTCTCTACTTTTCTTCCTTAATCAGCCTTGCAAAGAAGTCATCTACAGGTGTTTTCAAAGAACAAGGTTTTTTATTTTTATCCTACTGTTTTTATTTCCTACTTAATTAATTTAGATTTTATTTTTATTAATTGCTTTTTTTTTTGTTCCTTCTGATTTCTTTCATTGTATATTTTTTTCTTGCAGTGTCTGAAGATAGAACACTGATGATATACATAACTTAGTGAAAATTGAACTGAACTCCAGTTGGTTGGCCTTAGATTTAATAGGTGACTAATCACTTACTTTTGGACTGTCCCACTGAAAGTCACACAGCAGCAAACCCATCCCTGTCTATTTCTAAACAACCCTTATGGAAAGCCTTGGAAGAGACATGTTCCTGTAGAGGGTCAGGCAGTGCTTATTGCCAGAATGAATGATCGTGACTGTGCTTTGAGGAGGCTCCAAGCCAGGCTGCTCCTTGAACTCTGCAGCCCCTGCAGATTTGGAGAACAGGTAATGGCTCTTGGTGTTAGGGAGCAGCTCCCAGAGTCTGCCTAAGCACCTGCACAGCTGCACCATTTACACAGCTGCTGCGCCTCTGCTTAGGCGAGCCCTGGTATGTGTCACTATACAGCCTTCACATCGTGTAAAATGAGATTTTCCATCACTGATACTCTTGACCTGACTGTGAAAGAGAAATGCTAGACCTTGGGGGAACCTTGAGGTTTTAAACATTTCAGACTTTTCAGAGATTTAAGATTGATGGGTGGAAACTTTAATAGTGCAATCCCATACTTCCGGTCAAGATGGAGTCATAGGTAAATGTCGCTCCCCTCTTCACACATCCACAGCAAAATTACAGCTAAACTACAGAACAAGTATCACTCAGAACTGTCAGAAAATTGAGCTGTGTGGAAGTCCAACAACTAAGGAATTAAAAAAAACCACATTCATGTAGATGGGTAGGAGAGATGAAGGGATGGAAATGCAGAGATGCGGAAATGGCTAGTCCCAAACCCATGTGGGTGAATATAAAAGGGAGGGATATTTCAGGAGTGAGGGACCCCAGCCCCACACCAGACCACCAGACCAGGGTTCCACTGCCAGGAAGATAAGTCCCCATATCTTCTGGCTGTAAAAATCAGTGGGGGGTTGAAGAAATTGTTGGATTTTCAGTCCTCTCCTCTTAAAGGCCCGGACTCACTCAGACTCACTCCCTCTGGGCTCCAGCACCAGGGCAGCACCTTGAAGGGCACCAGTGGAATATGGGGAGGAACTGAAGTGTCTGGCATCAGGTCAAGAGTTGGCAGACAGCTCCTTCCCAGAGAGAACTGCAGACAGCAGCTGTTGTACCTCTTCTGAGCCCTTCCCAACACAGAGCTACACCATATCTGAATCTCCATCATCCTGGCTCACATGGTAAGCCCCATGCTGGCGATTACCTAAGGGTCCTCCCCATCCAACTTACAGGCCCACCCAAGCTGATATCAATGATGGGCTGGGCTAGGCGCAGGCTTCAGGCCTTCCTAAATACACTCACAAGCAACAGCTGAGCCCAGCCCCGTTACCTCTCTCTGAGTGGCCCCAGGCCCAGCACTAGCAGCAACCATCTGTATATCATTTTGTAGCTTACAGCCAAGAGGCCCCAGACAGAACACAGGTGGAGGCTAACTTTGGTCTGCACTACCCAGGAAACCCTAGAACCTGCCCACCCAGAGAACAGTTACAGAATGTGTAGGAGCACCACACAATCACCTCTGCAAGGCACAGAGGGAGGTGGTTGCTGGCAAGGGGTCACAGCCAGTCCTACCAGCTACCTGGACTGGGTAAATCCCTTCCATCGACCAGCTGACGGCTACCAAGACTCATTTACAAGAGGAGGGAATACTCCACACAGAGGGCACACCTCGAATACACAGCTTGGGAAATAGGGGAGACTGTGCCACTGGATCTTATAAGACATCTGCTACGTTAGGTCATGCTACCAAGACATGGAGTCAAAGCAGCCCTTTGTAATACATAGAAAGAAACACAAGGAGGCTGCCAAAATGTGGAGAGAAAGAAATATGGCCCAAATGAAAACAAAACAAAACTCCAGAAAAAGAACTAAATAAAATAGAGATAAGCAATCTCTCAGATGCCGAGTTCAAAACACTGGTTATAAGGATGCTCAGGGAACTCACTGGGTACTTCCAAAGCATAAAAAAGATCCAGGCAGAAATGAGAGATACACTAATTGAAATGAAGAAAAATTTACAGGGAATCAACAGCAGAGTGGACGAAGCTAAGAATCGAATCAGTGATTTGGAACATGAAGAAAAAATACCCAATCAGTACAGCAAGGAGAAAAAAAGAATCCAAAAAAATCAAGGATAGTGAAAGGAGTATCTGGGACAACTCCAGACATTTCAACATTCTCATCATAGCGGTGCCAGAAGAAGAGAAAACACAAGGAATTGAAAACTTATTTGAAAAAATAATGAAAGAAAACTTCCCTGATTTGGCGAAGGACATAGACATACAAGTCCAGGAAGCACAGAGAGTCCCAAACAAGATGGACACAAAGAGGACCACACCAAGATACATCATAATTAAAATGCCAAAGGATAAAGATAAAGAGAGAATCTTAAAAGCAGCAAGAGAGCAGCAGAGAGTTACCTACAAAAGAGTTCCCATAAGAATGTCAGCTGATTTCTCAAAAAGAAACTTCGCAAGCTAGAAGGGACTGGCAAGAAGTATTCAAAGTGAAGAAAAGCAAAGACCCACAACTTAGATTGCTATATCCAGCAAAGCTATCATTTAGAATAAAAGGGCAGAGAAAGTACTTCCCAGACAAGGTAAAGCTAAAGGAGTTCATCATCACCAAACCCTTATTATATGAAATATTAAAGAGACTTGTTTAGGAAAAGGAAGATCAAAACTATGAACATTAAAATGGCAATAAATACATAACCATCGACAATCAAATTTTAAAAACAAACTAAGCAAACAAGCAGAACAGAAACAGAATCATAGACATGGAAATCATTGGGATGGTGGCCAGTGGGGAGGGTTCTGGGGGAATGGGGAAAAAGGTGAAGGGATTAAGAAGTACAAATTGGTAGTTACGGAATAGGCAGGGGAATGCTAAGAACAGTATAGGAAAGGGAGTTGCTAAAGAACATATATGCATGGTCCATGGACATGAACAAAGGAAGAGGGATTGCCAGAGGGATTAGGGGTGTTGGGTGGAGAGAAGCAAAGGGAGAAAAATTGGGACAACTGTAACAGCATAATCAATAAAAAAATTAAAAAATAATAATAATTGTAAGATCCCTCAAAATTAAGAAGGAACCACCCTTAGAGCTGGGAGAAAACTGAGTTGTGGTGTCAGTGGTTAACAGTCTCAAATGTATAGAGATCAAGTAACATAAGAAATCAAGTAAGATATATCATTTCACTAACAACAGTGCCACTGGTACCTCGGTGTCGATGATTTCAGTGCAGTAGTTAATAAAGGCAGATTTCAAACAACTGTCCA